TATGTAGATAGCCAGTTCGATCTGCAAAGTTTCCAGTAGTAAATATACTTTCTTGACTTTATTAATGAATCACCTACTCTACACCGTGAGGTCTGTAGGACTTTGGCCGAGAGACTACACAGCGGGTAGGAGCTTTCGATGGCATTCTAAAAAGCTCCACCAAAACACTAAAGCTTGCCTAGAGTGGCTAGCGCAGTTGCTTGCTGTGAAAGTCCAAATTAGTTCTCCTGAAATCCCCAAAAGGGAATACTTTTAGTCTTCACTTAGTATACACCCATAAAGTGGCTCACCTCTTACGTTTATACTCGTACCTGAGCTTTCCCACCGCGAACCTCTTGGTTAAGCATCCGAGTCAATAATGGCACCAGTCTTCCGTTGCCTCGCCTCAGCTGTGGTCTCACGCAGCAGTAGTAGAGTGGTACCACCTGATCGTCATGCGGAGCAACCAGCCACAATGTCCTCATTACTGAAATTAGGCAAAGTAAATTCTATTTCATTTCTGATGAGCATGCTGGATCTTAGTGTATCTGCTTGTTTCTGCACTATTCAACATATACTTAGGCGTTCTAATCGAGCAGATACTGTTACTACTTAGGCCCTTCTCCCGCACTGCAGCAACTCCAGCCTGTTTGCCGGCAGCTTTAGAGTTCTGGTGATCTCTTTACAGGATTTTCGTCTGCCCAAACCTTGCACAGCCACCTCAATTTTACGCCCCTGCTTACTGAGGCCTTGTGGCAGAACCGTCTGATACTGTTGACGGAACCCTCTGTTGATGGAACATTGCCAGTCTTTGGGCCTCTGATACAACCTATTCTACCACCATACTAATGCGGGTTTCCTCTTCTCTCATTTGCACTTCAAATATGTTACATAATTTCTACGTTGGCCTTATGCACCAGACATTTCAAAAAACCTTAAAAGAGTAATGCATTTGTCACGCCTAAAATTATGCAACTAAGCTTTAAGTTTATTTAACCAAAATTTGAGCCGAGCCATTAAAATTGCACGAAGTTGACAATCATAAAATTAAAATGAAATGAAATTCCAGCTGGCTGTTGAAGTTTTCGTGGTTATCTTCTTTTTTTTTACAAGCACATACACCTTTAAACGCTATAAAGCTGGCTACATTCGCAGTAAGACCACCAAGCCTTTATTTGCCTGTCTGCCAGCGCCAGAATGGAATGCTTTCGATCGCGCACTTGAATGCCACTCTAAGTTGCCAGAACAATGCACAATTTCATTTGAAACTTTTAAGCGACGCGACGGCGTTAGATGTCGCCATAGAATTATTGTTGTGCGCCTAAATATATACGACATATTTTTGCAACTTGTTTAACAGCAGCGGCAATAGTGGTAGTGTACACGTTGTAGTAAATATTTCAAGGGCTTTACTTTTCGGTAGCGAAGAACTTCACAGTGTAACAAAATACCTGCTGCTGTCAACAACAACAGTCCAAGCAATTTGCACGACCACACAAGTGGTTGGCAATGCGCAGCCCGGCGAAACCACTTGCACTCTATACTCGCATCCAATATGGCATATGCTCACAAAAGTTCGTCAACACTGTGGTAGAAATGTTTTCCTTCTATTTAAACAAACAAACTTGCCAACACACACTACATATATAAATGCGAACGTAAAAAATATATGAGCCAACATTTGTAGCTTTAATTAAATGTACCGAACGTTGAGGAGCGAGAGCGCGCGCTCTCGCGCCGAAAAGCGGACTTCCCATACATGCCTTAACAAGTGTTTTTGCTTTTAAGTGGATTACATTTTCGCATTCTTCGGCATATTTACACATGCATACGCATGCACATGAGTTGGTGTGCGCGTTACGATGCGTGTCACGAATTGTTTGCTTTTCACTTAAATTCCACGCACACAAATTAAGGTGTGTGTTTGTATTAAAAGCCTTTCTGTATTTATTTACTTTTATTTCACTTATTTTTTGCCTGTTTGCTGACTGAGTTGAGGTAGCGAAAGGTTAGCTGGTTCGCTGCTTGTCAAGGTAAAGTAATAAGGGTAAATCGCTAGTGTGGAAAAAATATCGAGTTGTTGGAGTTTGAAAAATTTGCGGTAAAGGGTCGTAGAAACTGCATACTTCTATAAAAAAAAAAATAGAAATTTGCATGTAATATGTATGCGCTAAGGTATCTCTATAATAAAGCGCTTTGAAACCCTCTCTCTAACAGGTATACATGCCGATTTCGAGACTCGCGTATGTGTGTTTGCATTAGCATTTGTATTAGTGTCCTTTGAAGTGAAATTGAGCTGAAGTTGCGCAACTAAAAGCAAAGAAAACTGCTCGTGGCATACCTTAAGTGAGTCGCAATTTAATTTGCGTGCTTGAGTGAGTCAGCTCTTTACAGAATGGGCATTACTTTACTTGATTGTATGCAAATGTAATCAGGTATGAATTTCTTGTGGCGTTGACCCTTCAACCTGAGTATTGTTATGTGAGTTTATCTCACTTTGAGCAAAGCAAATTCTCTATAACGCAATTTACCAGCTTTTGAATGTACTCTCTTAAACCCTCCTTGATCATCTTTACTCTTTTTGAACGTTAATTGAAGAGCTATCACTAAACCTTCTAACAAGTAAAAAATGCCTTCAGTAAGACGAATTTATCTATCTATCGTTCGAATTCGCTCAGCGATTGCAGTAGAAGCAGCAACGAGAGAAAATAATTCGATTCCCCTTTTTAGGAATCCCTAAAAATTTGTACAAGTTATCAGCTAAAAGCAAGTAGTCACTAGACATTTCAGGGGTAATAGATTAGATTCTAATGTGAGTTAAAAGAGACTCAGCCCAGAGCCTCACATATTCATGAAGTTTTATGTGAGGAGAGTTTCAATGAAATAAATTTCCTTAAGAGCCAGCAGACCAGGAAGATAGTAGAATACTTATGTCTCTGTATAGGATACAATTAAACACTGCACCCTTTTGATACCACTTTGGGGTAGTTGATTTCCTTTATCCCCTTAAAACCAATTCGCTCTAAGTATCAGGTCTCTGGTATCCATTGGCCCGACTTCATCATATTCCTTGAAGAAGTATTTGCCTAGCGTTCGGGCCCTGCATCTAGCAAGAGTTGAACAGTGACGGAGGGTATGTGTTACCAGTTTTACTCTTCTGCTTCATCTCAAAAGATTATTCTACAGGAGTTGTTCCAAGAGAGCTCCTAATCTGGTCCAATTAAGCCAATTAAGCGGAGATCCATAAGGACTGAAGTTTTTAAACCAATTTCTGGTTGCTGTGCGTTGGGCACTTAAATTAGAGCAAAGTTTCTCTGCTATAGCGGAAAATTATAAGTTTGCAGGTACTAATGTTATTTGTGTAGCGGTCACTTAACTTTGCCAAGAGGCGGATAATCTCTCAATCGGTGTCGTCAAGCTCAGCTTGACCAATTGGTGTCATGTGATTGTTGTCATGTGGGGAATTTTCACATGCTGAACATACATGAACGGCGTCAAGGTCTGATCTGATAGGTAGGAGTTTTACCTACGACACTAACCAGACCGCAGTTGATCCAGATTCCATTCCATTTCCATTCATTTTGAATTCAGTTTTAGTGGCTTAAACAGAATTCAAACGTGCATTTAGACCCTTTGGATGCCGAAAGGGGGGTCAATGCTAATGTTAATGGTCAGGACTTGGCTGGATCGACTCTAGCACATCACATTCTCTCTTAGGGCATATCTTTTAGCAACATATTCGTCATAATTAGATACACAGAAAGGCTGTGCGGAGGAAGGTATTATTTTCCTTCTTTGCAATGCCATTAGCTTTGGAAATTAATTGGTATTTCTAAATAGTGGTTTAGAGTAGATTTTCACCCTAATTGGAAAGCCATTTTTAAACTCTAAACTCGGACACTTAGCGGTTTAAATTAATATCATGCAGAGAAGGCGGCTTCCAAGTGTGTTTGGTCTACTTGCAAGGTCGCGGCGCACAAAGAGCAAATGTTTAGCGGTCTCCTTCCAGATCAGGTCCTTGCAGCTGCGGCAGCAATGGTTGAAAGGCCTATTGATCCTTTAGTCATGCACATCCGCGGATCACTGCGCTGTATAGACAGCCGTGATTAAATATTTTCTTTGCTCATGCGAGCCTTGGTCTCCAATAGTTGCGACCTAATCGAGAAATAGGAGAGGGCGTAAATGGCCGCCTCGTCAGTTGCAAACGCTCCGCCTGGAAAACGCTTTCCCGAACCAGTTGGCGAAGAATCCTTCCACCGACTCTGAGTTCCAGCTTTGATGCGTCTGTAAAGACAGCCATGACTTCCGGGTACTGGGTTCCTCCCGAAATCAGGTGAAAGTCTATCTAGGTAACCACTCTTTCCAGTATCCTAAATCCCGCTGGTAGCAGCTGGATCTCATTTCATCAACGGCAACAGTTCGTTCGCGAAAATTTAAACTGGAGATTGGAGAAGAGACGATCACATCCAGCACAATTAGCAGTTGAAAAGCGCCGAAGAGCTGTGCGAGAAGGCGCTTTAAGCGTGTTTCTGGAAACGGAACCGTTTTGTTATCTCAGTAGCTTTCCTTGGAAAATTTTTGTGGGTAAACTCAGAAATCATTTTGTGCTGAGCTAGCGATGGTAGCCAGGATATTTGTGCTATTCTTCACCTAGCAAATCGGTATGCTCATCGATACAATATGTCGGATTTGTCTTGAGGATGATGATTCGTTTGGAGCTTATTCTGCATGATTATCGTCCCTTCCCGAGACATTATTTAATTAATCCGAATTTGATCCTCTTAGAATTCCGAGCATGTTTACCAAGGTTCTTATAGCATTTCTCTGAAAGGCTGACTGTATTTTGGAATATATGGGCTAGGAAGGCGACAGCGTGATACAAAAGATTTGCTTTTCTTAGGTTTTCATTATTATTCTATTCCTTGTAAGCTTACTACCTAGCCCTTTACTTAGATAATTTACTTTTTAAAATATTCAAGGTGCGTTTCTTTAATATTTCGCTTTAATTCTTCTTGTTGCAGTTCCAGCATCAGTGAGGAAACGAAGTACTGCTTCTTTGTCAGCCAAAATGCCAACCTGCGTGCAAAACTACTCCTCCGCCTATGCTAGCAAGCCTACAGCCATTGCATAACAGCCGCAGACTTCTTTACACCGATCATAGCCACAACATGAACATCGAACAACATAAGTTCCCCCCACCACCACCACCATCCGCGAGTCTGCTGTCCGACAGCGGTTACACCAATGGCTATGCCACACCCAGCAACAGCAGTATTACAACGACTTCAGCGGACACCTCTGCGTCGTCGCCCGCCTCGCAGACAACCACCTACGTGAACATACCGATAATACCGCATAGCCAACTTAATGCATCCGCGTCGTCTACATCTTCCGCCTCCCCACCGCTGCCGCCGCCGCCGCCGTCTGCTATCTCCATGATGGGTAGCACCAACACACCCGGCGCTGGTGGCGGCACAAGCACCTTTAAAACACCACTGCTACCCATGCCCACGCTCGAGGACATCGAAGGCGGTTTGCTAGCAGTCACGACGACTTCTAACACGCCCGTTCCTATGCCTGTGGGCATACTGAAGTATCCGAATGCTGCCTCAGCGGCGGCCGCAGCATCTGTGGCATCAACACCACTCAGCCTGCCACCCTCTACGTTGAGTATGTGCGGTGGTGGCATGGGCCCTGGACCACCGCTGCAGTCACAAACGCCTGCGTTATCATTGCCCGCCTCTACTGCTACGAGCGGATATTTGAGTAGTGTGGCGACTACCTATCAGTCAGCAGCGCACGCACATCAGCAACAACAGCAACTACCACCTGCCACACTCTCATTAGCCAGCGATATGATGCAGCATGCAACAACGCCCATAACGGTGCTTTCGCTGCAACACTCCGCACAGCAAACACAACTACCACCGCCGCCTTCTGTGGGTATACTTAATAGCAACAGCGGCGTAACTCTAGGCATAAGTGGGGGTAGCAATGCCAGCGCGGGGCGCAGCAATCATCTGTCAAACGTGGGAGGCGGAATGGGTGGCTCTGTCGGCGCTGCAACCGGTGCTTCGGATTCGAAACGTTCATCGAAGTGCTGTACCTGCTTTGGCAGTGGGAACTCGTCATCATCAACGAAGTCGCAGCAGAAAAAACGGTGCAAGCAGAAGTCACAGACGATTTGGTCGGCGCTGCTGACGAATTTGGGAATTTGCGCGCTGCTGCTGGCCTACACGCTACTGGGTGAGTATGGGGAAGTTAGAATTAGCAAAAAAGGAATGAAAGATGTGAAATAGGGGAGGGAATGAAGTGAGAGGTAAACCATTGGAAGTGCCAAAATGAAAATCGGGAGAAAAGAAAAGGAATAAAGGAAAGGGGTAAAAAGGAATAGCAAAACGAAGAATGCAAATAAAGAAAAAAAAACCTTTAAAAAAATGGAAACAAAAAGTAAAACAAAAATCGCTGGCAAATAAAATTTAATAAAACTCAAATCCAAATAAAAAATGCAAAAAAAAACAGAATGACAGCAAAACATCACCCAAATGAAAAAAGAAAAGTATAACAGAAAACTAAAAAATATTATAAAACAAAATAAAGCAAACTCAGATTTAAAAGAATAATAAAAGAATTAAATTAACTAAAATAAAGTAAAATAAACTGTTAAATAAACTAAAAAGAAAAAATAAAATAAATAAAAACTACTATAAAAAATTAAATTAAAAAAATAAACAAATAATACATACAACGAAACAAAACAAAAAAAATATCCAATCAAATTTAATAAAAAATAAAATTATGTAAAATTGAATTAACTAAATTCAATTCAACTAAATTGAATTAAACAAAATAAACTTAAATAAAAAATAATAGGCAACAAATATTAAAATAAGATATAATAAATAAACAAGTAATTTTTAGCAAAAGAAAAACGACTTCAATTCTCATATGAAAAAAAATATATATATATATATCTCATGATACGATGGTCGGATCTAAACCAGTTTCGTATGGGA